TTTGTAATATTTGAATGAAAAGAGAAGTCGTCATACAATACCCAACTCAAAATTTTATTTCTAGATAGCTTTATTACCTTGTCAATTTTGTCAAAACCATATCTATGTGCTCGATGATGAAAGCAGTAATTTCTTTTAAAATAAATTCATCTGTATTCAATTTGCGTTTAAATAAAATAATAAGTCATCTTCAGGTTTTTAGTGTGGCATGAATAGCATTATATTTATGAAGGAAATTAGACACAATAAAACGTCATTCTTTTTGAGAATTTTTGCCTTGTATACACTTAAGCCGTAATATATTTTAAAATTTTATAATATCACACTATATTTATATGAGATTTGGGACGCATCTGTACATAAAAGCTTACAGAGAACAAAAACCAAAATTAATGTGTCTATTAAGTAGTAGGAGACGAACGTCTTTATTCTCCTTCGTCTTATCAGTTTCAACACTTGTTTTGTCATTCTGATGGATGTTAGAATTATTGTCTCCCATAAATTTTAATGTCTACCACAAGTCGGAAATTTTTGGGCTCAGCAAAAAAACACATGAGCATCAAGATAAATGTAAATTCATTACCTCTTCTGCTTTATTATTATTATTGCCCTTCAATTTTATTAATACCTCTGAAGTTTTCGTTTGGATTTTATGGGAGGTTAAATATTCTAACAATCGAATTTGAAAATAAATTTTTAAAAGCTTTAAAGCTCACTGATTTTTATTACTGTTTATATCCGTGAGATATAACACACATTTTAAAATTTTACGTTTTGTATTTTGCATATGTTTGAATTTTATTTTATATGTCTGCCATTCACACGCCAAGAATTTGAAAATCGATGTGTGTGCAGTGAATATTTAAAGAACTGCCGAGTCATTGAAGTGAGTAATTTAAATTTTTTGGCAAGAGAATAAACTCTGACGCATTATTTTTTTGATTGCATTAAAGTTAATAGTAAAGGAAGAGTTTGTTAAAGTTTTGAGATACTAACTTGTCAGATTAAATTAATTTTTTTATTAACTATGAATATTTGACACTTGTGTCATTTTGTAATTTTTAATATCAAAGTACGTCCTAGTACAAATTATCACACAAAAAAAATTAAGCTTTAATTCTTGTTTATCAAACATTTCTTCACGTTCAGATATGTTTTCAGTTATGAATCGCAATCAATTTCATGCTTCGTTTCTATATTTGCTTCAAATTCAAAGAATAATCATCCATATAATCGAAATCGGGCAATTCTCCAGATTAGTTGAGTTTTGGAATAAGAGCTTTTATAATCTCAAGACATTTTCACTTTACTTGCATTTTTTTTTTCTGTCAAAATTCTTGTCAATTTCTTTGTTTTGATTGCTTAAAGCAACTTTAAACTATTTGTTACGATCGATTCTTACTGAGTATGCATCGATTCAACAATAAAGTGTTAAATTAAGACCAAAATTTAATTTATTTGAAATATTTGCTTTGCATTTTATCATGGATTAGTAAAATAAAAGCTTAATTTTTTTAATGTCAGCCGGATGATTATGCCATTTTTTGCTTACAATAATTTTGACAAAAAAACAAAATACTTTAATGGTTACTTTTAAAAACTAAAATAGTTAAAATATAATAGTTTTTGCCATTTTACATAGATGTAAAAGTAAAAATTATGCTTGGCAAAGGAAAATTTTCAAAAATAAACAATTCTCCGGATAATTTTTTGAAAAATTTAAACAATCTTGAATGAATTTTTTTTTTCTTGACTGGTTGGTTTTTAATTTATTTCTTACATTGAAAAAATTGGTAACCTGTTGATTTAATCCGTTAAAAAAAAACTTTCTTTGAACGAAAAGTTCATGATTGAATATTTCCAGTTAACTCTACAATATAAAAGTTTCATAGTTCAACCAACAAAGTTTATTGTCAATATATAATTTCATCTTCAATAAAGCTTTCCTTTATATTAAATATTTTGAAAGCATCATTACATTTTAATTACCAGAAAGTTCTTCAAACTTTAAGTTAAACTTTATCTTCGCTTCCAATGACTTTTCAATTAGATATCTTTGGAATTAAAAAAAAATCTATTAGATTTGCAACAGAAATTAATAGAAAAACTTTTTAGAATAGATTATCATAAATAACTTGTTGCTTTTCATTTCAAAAGCATTCCTATTTTATAAAAATTATGCATGCATCATAAAGCTTAAAAGCTATAAATACTTGAAAAATTTATCATAAAATGAATCAATTGTAAAGTGCAAGTAAAGTGTTCAGAAAAAATCGTTCTTATATATTCAAACTAATATATTTAGCTAATAGTCAAATGATGTATGAGCAGCATTTTTTGAAATTGCATGACAAATAACAAGTTTATGTTTAATAGTCTATGAAAAACGTCTTTCTCTCATGATGACTTTCTTTCGTTTTGCATAACTAAAGAATAATTTCGAGCAATGTTTTTGATTGATAAAGACTTAAGTTGTGTAATATAAAAAAGCTCTTAAAAGTATTATTCACATCATTTACGTATTACATTTACTTATTTTCACGATGTTTTTTTCATCAGAATACTCAATTATCACTTTATGAATGACACTTTAACATTTTATTGAAGCCAATTTTATTCTTTTATCTCTAAAGGCATGTGCAAGGAACTAAAGGAGCGTAAAAAATTTGATTACGTCATTCTCGTCTACACATATTTTACGTCATTCATTTCTCTTTTTGTTTTTGTTATAGTCGACATAATAATGTGACGATATGTCGAGTAGGAAAATAGCTAATGAAATTATGTGTTCGTGTTCACATAATAGTGCTCCGAGACTCTGTGATTGTTATGGGGGTTTGATTCTATGTATCATGACACTTATTGTATGCATGCAATGTGTTTCATATTGATTGAAAATTGTGAGAGAAAAGTTGTCGAACTTTATCGCTATCCCTTATCAAACTGATTTAACTTCCTCTTATAATTATTGTTAAATCTAAGGATGAAAAAGTTTCTGAAATAGAAATAAAATTGGACACAGTCACGCACTTTGTATCATTTATAATGATTTGAATAAAGAATTTTTTTGACATGCTTTTCTTCTATTCAAGTTATTCTTTTGTAACAATCATTATTTTTTTTATTTATTTATTCAATAATATATTAAAAAATCTCTTTAAATTTGGCTTATCTGTTTTACCAAATTTTCAAAAACGCTTTTATTTAACAAAAAACATATGATTTTAAAATATTAAGTAAATAATTATTCTTCATCTCGGACAGGTTCAGATTATTAATTCGGACCATTAACGGAAACAGTTAAAATTTTCACCATTACTTAAGGATTGTTAGATCGACTAATTTACAATCACTGTATTTAAAAATTGATAGATTGAACTTTTTTTTTGCTGCTGTTTCAATGGCTTCATAATAGTCTTGAGGAAGATAAATACTTTGCTTCTTTCTGAATTTCTCTTCAATCTTGCCGAAATATCAGTCGTTGGGTTAATAAGAATAATCTGAAACAAGAAACTTCATATCTGTGATTTTCAATCCGAATTGTAAGGATTTGAGATGAAATTCAACATAGCTGGCACCATTTCTATATTGTTGTTTAAAACAGGGCAATTGTCACTATATGTAACTATTCGTTTTGTCTGAGGTGTACAATGTTTTGAAAGAATTTAATTAGAGCTGGAGATATTTTCGCTTTTCCACGCGATCCATGATTTTCTAGCCAGACCTACAAAGGTTTTGAAGATATTTATGTATTCATAAATTGAATGAATACAATCTTCAAATACTGATCTTCATTTAAAAGATAGTACCATTTACAGATTTTAAAAAAAAAATCTATTACGAGAAAGCATACAAAGAGAGTGCCTTTGTCTATTATGGAACATTCCTTCAGAATCTTTCTATATTCGACTCAAGACAATTATAAAAATATTGATAAAAGCTGCGTAATTTAATTATATTCGTTAATTTTATCTATTTTACTATCTTTGAAGTACAAAAATATTTCACTTTTGAATTAAGAGACAAAGAAAATTCACCACTTTGTATTTAAATGGAACTTTGTGACGTAAAGTTTTAGGTCTAAACAGCGTTGACAAACATGTTTTAATATATTAAAAGCTTCATGTTCATGTAATCAAATTACTTTTTCTTGTATGCTGAATAGCTTAGGGTTTCTAGAATTCCCGTTCGCGTGAGATTTCGAAGCACACAAAAAGGTTCATAAATGGAACCAGAACTGCATGTTGTGACTTTAAAGTGCACAATTATATCATTCAAGGTTAAAATTATCATGTTCTATTGCTAACAGAACTTAAATAATTAAATTTTAAAGCAAAAAGTTTTTTAAGAAAAAAAACACCATATTTTGAAAATTTAAATCCAATATTTTAAATAAATTATTTTTGTATGAAACGGGAATTCCCGGAAGTATTCCTGGTTTTAGAACCCCTAGTATATCAAAAATACACAAAGTAAAACTTTAAAGTTTAAAAAGTTGGTTAAATGCGGCAAACAATGAAGGTTGAGACTTTTCCGAAAAATCGTTTAATCTCCAAAATTGCTCTAAGTTTTTGGGGTTTTTAGACGGAAAAGTTTTAAAGACATGCTTGTTGAAATTATGTCAAAATACTTTCAGTTTGTTGGTGATGACTTTAAAAGTTAGTGTGGCTTAAAACTCAAATTTGGCTTAATTAATTTTCTTTAAAAAAGAATTAAAGAAATATTTAAAAAAGTTATTAAATTATTAATACTGGTGTATTTACATCGTACCAAACTTACATTCACAATGCAAACTTTTTAAAGATTTTATTTATATTCAAAAAATAAAGTTTACTCTTTAAATATAATTATGTGATCAATTTGAGAGAAATCTACTTCGTTAATGTGTTCACAAAAAATGTTCATGAATAAAGTAATTGACAGATGCTGAAAACACTCTTGGCGGATTTCACAATATTTTTTATTGCAAGTTTTTCTATTTTTTTGCTATTTATTTTCAGAGTACGGGTAGAATACTATGTGAATGAAAACACTTTCAAAGAAAGACTGCAATTATATTTTATAAAAAATCAAAGATCTAGTAAGTAAATCAAATTGTATAAGAAGTTCATGGTCATTGTATAAAGTTTCAAATATCTGTGGATGAAGATAATTCTATTATTTGTTAAAAATAGAAAAATGAAAAATATGAAGTAATGTAAATGAGTAAAAGGCTTTAGTTTTATTTTTAATATGCTTCAATTTTGTTTCACATCGCTTCTTTTTCAGTAACGAAATTAAGAATTATTAAATTGATCAGAAAGCTGTTGATTTAAGATTTGACCAGTTAAGTAGCTGCCAGTTAAAAAATTTTAATTATGATTTTGAAAATCTACTACACCTCCTATTTGGCTCTATTTATTCAATTCTTCAAAACGTTTGACAAATAAGATTTTATCGGTGAGAAAAGTTTTCAATTTATGCAATCAACATAAAATCAATTGAAATGTAATCAGTGATAGTCAAATCATCCTTCTTCCTTGAGTTTCAATAGCTAATAGCTATTATATTGATATTTTCTGATTAGAAATAATTTAAGGGATGGTATTCAAATAGAGTTTAGCAAAACATTTTAATGTTCTTTAATATGTAAACACTCTTAAAATTAATATGTCAAAACAGTTCATATGTGACCCAATTTCGGAGAATCTGCAGTATTGTCAAAAGATTGTTCAAAAACAAAAACAAAATATCTATCTTGTGTAAGCTACTAATTTTCATTGCATTTTGCTTCATATGTTTTGCAGGAACCTCATAAATTCTCTACGTTCTTTAAAGAAACCATTTTACTGATCATTTATTTGCCAAAAAAAATTTTTTTTTTTACTCAAGATATATAAACTTATTTAACACATTCGCTGTAAAAAAAAAGATACTCTATACAATTGAAAATAGAAGTTCTTTATAATTTTTCTGTAATAAATGTTTTCCTTTCATCTTCATTATAGGCTTACGAATTCGTATCGCTAATTTATTAGTTAAACTTATGACTTGCGTTTTGTACATATTTCGAGTCGTCACTGAAGTTGATCCGATGCAAGCAGCTTGGTAAGTATACTGATTTATATAAACTGATATAAACCTGATGGAAATTATCGATTTATAAATAGGTATAGGATAATAAGTCTCCTCAATCTCAAATTTTCACATTCTTCCGCATTCTATTAACGCTAAAGAATGAAAAAAACAAAAATCGTTTATAGTAAAAGTTTCTCTCATTAAGCTCCTCGTTTGGATTTTTAATTCTAATATCCTCCATATTCATTAAAATATACTTACTCTCTTTTAAGTCTTCTAAAGAGCTTTATAATTGATCAAAAATAGATAATAACAGAAAATAATTCTTTTTAAAAAGGCAAAGTTTCTAAAAGAATTTTATTTCAAATATTCTTTACAATTCTTTATTATTAAAGTCGGTATTACTCCATTTATTACACGCTTTTATGTAAGGTTATTCGTTTATGATTAGTTATCATATAACAAATTGAAAGCAATCTAAACGAAATTAGTAATCAAATAGATTATTTTAAACGATTTTTTGATTTATCTGAGTTTTACATTATCATGATTTTTCAAATTTGAAACTTCATCATTTTATTAATTGTGTTAAGCTCAATTACCACGTGTTTAAAAGGACGTGATTTGTTTATAGAACATTTTGCATGCCTAATTAATTTAGTGAAACATTAGGGCTTAAATTATAGAGTTTTGTTACAAGAACATAACCCTTCAAGTCTAGATGTTAATTGAGCATCTTTTTTATTTGCCAACATTTTCATTTAACCATTGAAGTGAATAATGTGTGAAAAATAAAAATAACTTTTTACTATGGTGCTAATTTTTATTATCGACACATGAGTAGCACATTTTTACGTGTTTGCATTTAATGCTTTGATTATCACGAAAAAATATTTGAAACAATTTATTACCAATTAACAAATTAATCTTTTTTCGTGTAAAAAAATCGATAAATTGATTAATTATTTTATATGATTATCATTTAATATTTAAGCTATGGCTGTGAAGCTGGCAATAAAACAGAATTTTACCTCTCGGCAAAGCTGAGAGAGGAAGATTTTCAAGAGAATCCCATCATAAATTGGGACGCAATTTCATGGGTAAATCGACCAACAGAGCTTTGGGCTGTGCAACTTTTACTAGCAATGATTTCATTAACGGAGGCACTATTGATAGCATATCTGAGTTATAAGGTAAGACTCTTAATCACGTTCATCATGATAAGTTATTTGTATTTGTAATCCTGTGCATCATTAGCTCAATGTCAATTGACACTAATTAATTGACCTTTACATCATATTAAATTTCTATTAAAGGGTAACATATGGCAACAAATTCTATCCTTCCACTTTATTCTCGAGCTTGTTACGACTGTTCCATTCTTGTTCACTGTAAGTAATTCATCACGTACACAGTAAAAATACTTTCATTCATGCTAGCAATTTCATAATACTTTACATTCATCTTTCAGATATTCTTTCCGTCCCTTCGGCATATTTTTATTCCCATATTCCTTAATTGCTGGCTCGCCAAGCATTCTCTGGAAAATATGTTTAATGACCTTCATCGTGCAATGCAAAAGTCACAATCGGCATTATCACAACAATTAACGATACTTTCGGCTACGCTCTTATGTTTAGTCTTCACAAGGTACGCAAAATTTAATTTAACTTTTTTTATCACACCACTGCTTTCCAGCTTGAAATATTTAATAAAATATAAAATAATAATTCATTTCTTTTCCATGCATATTTTTTATGAATAATAAATGCACACACAGCGTATGTGGAATTCAGCATTTTCAGGTATGTGTTTTGAAAGATTCTTTAAACAATGAATATTAATTTATGAAATTTTAAACAACTTTCCTCTTTTTTGCTTCAATGCAACATAAAAAAAATTAATTAAATATTATGAATTTTATGCTAAAGCTTTATGAAAGATTAAAGAAATATTTATTAATAATCTGATTCGTTATTTAGAGAGCGGGCCATCGTCACATGAATTTATTTCAAAGTACATACTATGTTGTTGTCACATTCAGCACTGTAGGATATGGCGATTTTGTTCCTGATATATGGCCGTCTCAGCTTTATATGGTTATTATGATATGCGTGGCACTTATAGTCCTTCCAACACAGGTAAGCTCTCAACACCATTTTTTACTGAAATATCAACTATTTGTTGATGGACATCATTTTTGCATGATGTCTATAAGAATAAAGGAGAAGTAAAAAATGATTCAATGTTATTTTGAAGCTTAGGGATTTCCATTGCATTCTTCCATTATTAAAGTTTGAAAAATGCTAGGGAATGGTAATAATAAGGGGATAATTAATATGTTGTGCTTCTAAGTTGTAATCAAAACGAGAAAAATTTTATCTTTTTTTATCATTCGTTTAAACTCACTCAAGTTTAATTCAGAACTTTAGTGGATTGTGAAAAACGATAGTTTCAACCTCCATTCAAAAATTATTTTTGAAACTTCATGCTCATTTTAATTATGAAATGCATCAACTTTTTCTTTGTTATACATTTACTTGCTTAAAAGTTGTTGCATTGCATGGTACTCATGATGATGAATGAAATTAAAGAAAGAGGGAGGGAAACGGGGGATAAAACAAAGCAAAATTATAAAATGTTGATGGTGTATAATAAACTATTACACTGTACGAGTTCACATACCATAGAGGATATAATGTAACCCAAGAGTGTAGTTTTGTAAATTGCAATGAAAATTGAAAATTGAAGCATTCTAGTTCTTATGATAAATGTATCATGTTTAAGTCAGATCATCATCATGCCATGTGAATTTATATAAAAGCATAACAAAAACGGATATGAAATTTAAGCAGAATTTTTTATTTTTTTCTTTACTGCTCTTATTCATTTTCATCATCTTTATTATCGCCATCACATAAATAAATTCAGTTTGAGCAACTTGCATTCACGTGGATGGAACGACAAAAATTGGGCGGAAGTTATTCATCGCATCGTGCACAAAGTGAAAAGCATGTTGTTGTTTGCTCAACAACATTGCATGCTGACACAATCATGGACTTTTTAAATGAATTTTATGCTCATCCATTACTGCAAGACTTTTATGTTGTGCTCCTTAGTCCGATGGAATTAGATACAACTATGCGTATGATCCTACAGGTACCAATATGGGCACAGCGTGTGATTTATATTCAGGTGAGCATAAAAAGTTTCGAAAGTAAATTTAAGTTGATGTGTTGATGCTTATAACATTCAATTTACGATTTTCATTTCCACTTAACTCAGGGCTCATGTTTAAAGGATGGTGATTTAATCCGTGCTAGAATGGCTGAAGCAGAGGCTTGTTTTATTCTCGCCGCTCGTAATTATGCAGACAAAACAGCCGCTGATGAACATACGATATTACGTTCATGGGCCGTAAAGGATTTTGCACCAAATGTTCCACAATACGTTCAAATCTTCCGACCAGAAAACAAACTACATGTTAAATTTGCCGAACATGTTGTTTGTGAGGATGAATTTAAATATGCATTGTTGGCAAACAATTGTACATGTCCTGGTGCATCAACGTTAGTAACATTATTGCTGCATACATCACGAGGACAGGAGGGTCAAATAAGCAATGAAGTAGGAGATAAGTGAATGAATAAGAAAATTTCTCATGTCTTCTAATTTTCCATTTTTTGTCTTTTATTCTCTCTTTGTGTTTTTTTGTGTCCTATGTTGAATTTTATATTACTTATGGATTCACCTAGGATAAGTATTAATCATACTATGCATAATGATATTTACTTAAAACTCTTAAAATTTTTATATAAAAAATTCTCTTTTATGTACTCTTTATATTAACGAGAATCTTTTAAGAAAGAAAGTAACATTTTGTAGCTTAAATATCTAATTTCAACCTTTTTGTATTTTACAGTGGCACAGACTGTACGGTAAATGTTCGGGAAATGAAATCTACCACATAGTGCTAGGAGATAGCAGATTTTTTGGAGAATATGAAGGAAAAAGCTTTACGTACGCTAGCTTTCATTCACATCGAAAGTAAATATCTTTAACTGTTTCTTTTATTTATCTTCCTTTTTTAACGTCTGCACGTCTGCGCTCAAGCTTTTATAACCTCTTTTTTCTCTTTATTTTTTCAAATTTTATTCTTTAATTAAAATTTAATTTAATTTTTCTTTCATATTTGTTTAATACTTAAAAAAAATATTAGGTATGGTGTTGCATTGGTTGGTGTTCGACCAGCGGAATTACCAGAGTTTTATGAGGAAACGATACTTTTAAATCCAGGACCACGACATATAATGAAAAAAGATGACACATGTTACTATATGAGCATAACAAAAGAAGAGAATTCAGCATTTGTAGTCCATCAAAATCAACAAAATCAGCAGCCACCTGAAGCGCAAAAAGAAGGTAAGAAAGGATTTAAATGATGTTTATATTTTTAAAATCGACTGATAATCTCATATCAAAACTAGAATCAACGATTCGTGTCAAATATAATCAAGAATCTTTGTTCGTTAAGCTTTTCATATCACAAATTATATTTTATCGTTTTGATAAAAAAAAAAAAAAAATAGTTTTTTTGTTTAATTGTCGTTCTTTATTTTTATATCCTCAATGTGATATTTATTTTATTTGTTCACATTGTTTTATGGTCGATATGAAATTGATTAACGTGTATGACCTTTAATTCACAATTTTTTCGTATTTTATTGATTTAAGTTGAAAGCTCATTTGTGAGTTTTTTTTTAATTTATGTGATATCTTTTGATGTGCTCACACGAAGAGGCTTAAACTCGATTTTATGAAAGATGATTTAACTTTCTGATTTTTTTGTTAAAGCTTTTGATGTACAAAAAATTAATGGCATTTCTCTCGAGACATGGTGAATTTAATAATTTATGTGTCTTTAAATAGTCTATCCATGTTGAGGAAGTCCTCGAAGTGTTTTCTAATGCCCCTTTACAACATACAATTAAATTTAATGTAAAATGCAAACTCTAAATTGAACGAAAAATTTATGCTCAAGTTATTCTTGGATATTGTTTACCTTCGTGACGCATTCAATTTGACTAGATATTTATCCATGTCTCGATACACAAAGCGAAATGTCAATGACACTTAATATAAATTATTAACATGTTAGCCACTAGTTGCAACTATTTAAATAATTTCGATATCATACAATTACAATTAGAGAGAAAAAAAAGTGAAATTTAAATTTATAGGCTAAAATCATCCATTGCTAATTGAAATACGCAATTTTTAAGAATGCTCATTTCATATATTTAAATTACATTCGACAAAACAATTATTACGCGAACATGTGTAGTTTTCATGTCTTGTTTTTCTTTCGTTTTTTGTGTTCTATTTTTGATGGAAAAATACATTTTATTTGGCATCATATAGTACCAACATCAAATAATATCACCAACAATCAACCGGTTCCATCTGTTTGTGTTCGTGTGCCCCATAGCCCGAGTCTAGACTCAGGCGGCTGTGAAAGCCCACCATCACCTGTGGATAAACCTCATCATCATGACTTTACAACTTTAGTCGTGCGTGAGTCGTCAACCCGATTCATTAATCAAATCAAAAAATCCATTATCTTTAAAAACAATTCCTTGTCATCAAATTTAATCTTTGTTCCTCAAATTTTTTTAATTATTCTGCATGTCATTTCCAACACCTTTTTTTGGATTCAAGCTTAGCAAATTAAAAACAATGCTTATTATTCTCTTCTCTAATGTAACAATGCTTATTAAATTGAAAATCAGTGTCTGCAAAACTTTATGCTGCTATATGTCACGATGTAAGCCATTCTATTTCTCTTTTAAAGTAAAGTTTTTAAATTTTTAATGTTTTAACCTACTTTAAATATTGGAAACCATATTTCCTGAACATTTTCTAAGGTTTATGTGTTTTCAAGTACCAGGATATTCAATTCACTCAAAATTTTGTTGCTCACAAATAATTGCAGACATTGTTGACTTTATATTGTGTCTTAAAATTTTCTGAAAAGTTTCTTAAAACACTCCTCTAACTTGATATTCTGACATTTAATTTCCCATCGTTTAAAGTGATATCAGAAACTCTTTTGATGGATTTTGCAATTTTTCCGTATAACAAACTTTTAGCATTTATTTGATATCTTTCGGTTTAGAATTAAATTTTTAGACAGACATATGAATCCTTTAGAAGCACATCATGAAGTTGAAAATGTAAATCTTGAAACATGAGATCAGATCTATTAAACTTTATTTTATAAATTTCATTAGGAAGTCCACAAACTCACTTATTCACTGTTTATTTTTACATATAAATTATTATTTCATAATTTGATTATGCTGTTGAATTCTGTACGCATTTTACTTCATGAGTATCTATTCATTTTAATTTACAATTCAAAATCCCGAATAAATTGAAATGACAAAATCGAAATCCTAGAAAATGTTTCAAAGACCTCTGTTTTCAATTTCCATAATGAGCATAGATCATACAAATTTCGAAACCGCATGAAATAAAATTTAAGCTTCATAGATTTTTGAATATTATTTATTTAAATTAATTTAATTTTTGATTTTGAACTTCGATGTTTTAAAACTGTCGTAATATCAATTTATTTTCAAACATTTTAATCCTTATTTTGCAATTAACTATTTAATGCTTTAAAAAAACATAAAAATAGTTTTTGTCGCGTTTTATTCCATCGAATAATTCTTAATAAGTATCAGTTAAAATTAACGATAAAAATACTTAAAGATACTTCAATTGGTTTCACACATTTCACCATTTAAACGGATATTCGACATTTAGTGGTTTAAACTCTTAAATTTTGTTGCTTTGATAAAAATGTATTTTCGCAATCATTCGGATTTTCCAAATATAAAATAACTTGACAATGTAGAGAGCATATGTATTAAATGATTAAATATGTCACAACGGCTTGTCACGTTTATCATACGTTTACATGAGCACTCAATTAATCCACTAAAAAGTTTCTTTTTTGGAAAGTATTGAGTACTTGGTTCACATAATATTGTTAAGAAGAAGAGTAATAAAAAAATTCGTGACGCATTTTCATTGTGCTACAACAGTTAATGTCTGTGAATGACAATTTAATGACAAAGAACTAAGTTTTGTTCATATTGAAAATAACTCAATGATGCACGTAATTTATTTAAATAGAAAAAGCTCCAATTGAGACTTGAGCTTTTGTTTTGTTTGCGCTATTACGTTCATTTAAAATGAATATTCCAGTAAATATGCTAAGGGACAGTGAAAATTTTAATTAAACACTTTGTTGTTTGATTAACTTTATTTTATTTTATAACGAAATCAATTAAATGTTAAAATGCTCGTCTCCCATCATTATCACTTGAGTTGAATTCAGTGCAAATTTGTTTGCTTGTTCTATTGCTGTATAAAGATTTTCTTTTAATGCTGTAAGTAAATTTATGTTCGATTTTATTTTCAATTTGTTTCCTTTTTTCATGGTACTTTTTGCTCCTTTTTGTAACCACAATAAAAAGAATGATATAAGCTTAAAAAATTATTCCCCAATATATTGGACCATTTCGAGGAAATGATGCAGTAAAAATTGTTTTGTATGTACAAATTGATCATTTCCTCATTTCAAACCGTAAAAACAGTAACAAAACATAATAAAACCAGTGTATCGGGTATATAACCCAATGCGGATATATTCACACCGTATCATCAAAAGTCTTTTGGATAGACCAAGATTTGCTCAGCATAAGTTTGAAGGGTGGGCGTGAAGTACGGCCGAGACCCATATCGATACAGTTCAAAAGTTATACCTAATTTATGTCATAATTATGTCAGCTACAAAAACACTTAGTTTGAATTTTGTCACCCTCGGGAACACTGAACCAGTATAGCTGATTTTGGTCCAAATCTCGGCCATACTTCACACTTATTTGAACCACATTTTCTCGTAAATGTTAAAATATTATTAAAAAGTAATTAATCCTGAATTATGTCGCTTTTCTTTCAAGTGTTTTAAGATAAAGAAATTGTTTTTTGGTTTCCACAGTGAAGAGTATGAACAAAAATCAGATGGGGTAGTCGAAATTTTAGATTTCGGTTTTTTTTTAAGCTATGCATTACAAAAAGTAAAAATGGTATGTGATTTATGTCAGAAATATGTCAATTCAAATAAAACATCCAAAAAATTTTTTTGACTAAAGTACACCATAGAAAATCAATTTTCAATTTTGGACTAGGGGCGACCCTAGTCAAAATAAATTTTGTCACTTTTTTCTTCGAGGGTTTATCCAAATGGATTGAAACTTTGCATAAATATTCTAGTGCTTAAAACAAATACAAATAAAACATCCTAAAATTTTTTGAGCAAAGAACCAAGTAGGAAATACATTTTCAATTTTGGACTAGGGGCGACCCTAGTCAAAATCAATTTTGTCACTTTTTTCTTCAAGGGTTTATCCAAATGAATTGAAACTTTGCATAAATATTTTAATGCTTAAAACAAATACAATTAAAACATCGTAAAATTTTTTTGAGCAAAGAACCAAGTAGGAAATACATTTTCAATTTTGGACTAGGGGCGACCCTAGTCAAAATCAATTTTGTCACTTTTTTCTTCGAGGGTTTATCCAAATAGATTGAAACATTGCATAAATATTCAAGTGCTTTAAACAAATACAAATAAAACATCCTAAAAGTTTTTTGAGCAAAGAACCAAGTAGGAAATACATTTTCAATTTTGGACTAGGGGCGACCCTAGTCAAAATCAATTTTGTCACTTTTTTCTTCGAGGGTTTATCCAAATGGATTGAAACTTTGCATAAATATTCTAGTGCTTAAAACATATACAAATAAAACATTCTAAATTTTTTTGAGCCAAGAACCAAGTAGGAAATACATTTTCAATTTTGGACTAGGGGCGACCCTAGTCAAAATCAATTTTGTCACTTTTTTCTTCGAGGGATTATCCAAATGGATTGAAACTTTGCATAAATATTCTAGTGCTTAAAACATATACAAATAAAACATTTTAAATTCTTTTGAGCCAAGAACCAAGTAGGAAATACATTTTCAATTCAAGACTAGGGGCGACCCTAGTCGAAATCAATTTTGTCACTTTTTTCTTCGAGGGTTTATCCAAATAGATTGAAACATTGCATAAATATTCAAGTGCTTTAAACAAATACAAATAAAACATCCTTAAAGTTTTTTGAACTTGTTTTTTGGACTAGGGGCGACCCTAGTCAAAATCAATTTTGTCAATTTTTTCTTCGAGGGTTTATCCAAAAGGATTGAAACTTTGCATAAATATTCTAATGCTTAAAACAAATACAAATAAAACATCCTAAAATTTTTTTTGAGCAAAGAATCAAGTAGGAAATACATTTTCAATTTGGACTAGGGTCGACCCTAGTCAAAATCAATTTTGTCAATTTTTTCTTCGAGGGTTTATCCAAATGGATTGAAACTTTTCACAAATATTCTAGTGCTTAAAACAAATACAAATAAAACTTGCTAAATTTTTTTTGAGCAAAGAACTAAGTAGGAAATACATTTTCAATTTTGGACTAGGGGCGACCCTAGATCCCTAGGTTTATCCAAATGGATTGAAACTTTGCATAAATATTCTAATGCTTAAAACAAATACAAATAAAACATCCTAAAATTTTTTTTGAGCAAAGAATCAAGTAGGAAATACATTTTCAATTTGGACTAGGGTCGACCCTAGTCAAAATCAATTTTGTCAATTTTTTCTTCGAGGGTTTATCCAAATGGATTGAAACTTTTCACAAATATTCTAGTGCTTAAAACAAATACAAATAAAACTTGCTAAATTTTTTTTGAGCAAAGAACCAAGTAGGAAATACATTTTCAATTATGAACTTGGGACAGGTCTAGTCAAAATCTGGTTTTTCACTTTTTTCTTCGAAGGTTTATCCAATTACAGTGAAACTTTGTGTGAGTATACTAATATTTATACAAAACATTTTTAAATATCTAAAGCAAGAAATGTATTCTATATGTCGTCAGAACCAAATTTTATAAATTTGGTTGTACATTCAGAAACAACGTGACTTAAAATTTTGTACAAAAAAATGATTTTTTTTAATTCAGAAATGTGTGACCTGAGAATTAGAATGCTCATACAAAGTTTTACTGTATTTGGATTTATCCTCGAAGAAAAAAAAGTGAAAAACTAGATTTTGACTGGACCTGTCCCAAGTTCATAATTGAAAATGTATTTCCTACTTGGTTCTTTGCTCAAAAAAATTTAGGATGTTTTATTTGTATTTGTTTTAAGCACTAGAATATTTATGCAAAGTTTCAATCCATTTGGACAAACCTTCGAAGAAAAAAGTGACAAAATTGATTTTGACTAGGGTCGCCCCTAGTCCAAAATTGAAAATGAATTTCCTACTTGGTTCTTTGCTTAAAAAATCTTTTTCATCCAAAGTTTAATTTAAAAAAAATCACAGTGAACTTTTAATTTGAAAAATTCGTAAGAAAGGAAAGTTTTTTGCTTTTTCTGAAGCAACGGCTGTTCCTACCTTGCCTAAAAACAATACAGCTCTTCTATAGAGCAGCACGGATCAAATGTAAAAAACTAGAAGTCTCTACAATGTCTCGTTATTGAGATTTCTTGCTGATTAACTTGCTTGTTTGCTTGCTTACAGAAAGCATATTTTGCGATTTTCTCAGCAATGCCGTAACCAATTTCAAATCTGTTTTTTTTGCAAAAGATGTGAAATTTAAGGCTCAAACTTTTCATCTCTGAACATTTTAAACTATCTTGCTCCATATCCTCACAAAATTCAAAAAACTGATTTTTCAATCTGAACAAAACCAATAGATTCACACGTGAAAACGGTGTGAATATAAAATACAAAAAACACAATACTTAATTCCATAAATTTATCACCAAAATTTACTACAACAAAACACAATAAAAAATCTTTATTGATAACAATTTGTTTTCCGTCAACATACATTGTGCTTCTTTTATTTTTTATTCATAGCAACATTTACGGAAGGAAATTCACCTAACACATTGATTGTATCAGACTCGAAAACAAATTTGAAGGAATCAACGGGTGGTATTCCAACAACGACAAGCTCAATATTAGGGCCTCCAAGTTTAAATGTTGGAAATCATCTCGATATACCTCAAAATAATCCAAATCTTCTAAGTCCGGATATGTTAAGCCAACGAAGAGGTTGTTATATCCATACTAATTTACTGTCATTGAAGTCGAGACTTAATTAAATGATTATTATTTCTGTTCCTTTTATTGCATATTAAAATTCATAATGAACATAATAAACAGGAAGCCGTAGACCATCGATTTTACCGGTGCCAGATATGTTTACTTCTTCGTCATTCAGTATATCAGGTGAAGATGGTTTAGATGGTGAAAATAACGATGAAAGTGAAGATGAATTGCTGGATAATCCTTGGTGCTCGCCGTCTGAGAAAATCGCGTAAGTACATATCTTATAAATCTTTGTCAAGATTTTTTTTCTGTCTTTATGATTTTCCTATCTTTATCTATTTCATTTTTCTATATTACATTATATATCAATTCGTTTATTAACTTTATTTTCCGTTTTTGGAGATTTATTGCTTCTAAATTTATTTTACAAATTATCTTTCTCTTTATACTCGTTATATTAAATTTTATTATCAATTTATTACATTAAATGAAGAAGGTGTTTGGTTTCTAGAAAAATTTAAATCGTTGCTTTAAAAAAAATCAATCATCATACTTCAACCAAGATATATAGATGTGCTCATACAAAAATATCGCAGTTTTTAAACGTCAAAAATTTGAATTTTCTAAAAACACTTACACTATAAAAGAAAATTTTTAATTTTTGTTTTGCAAAATTTTCAACTTTCTGTTAAGTTTTGTTGATACAGGAGTATTGCAAATGCTTCGCTATAATTTAAAGAAACTGACTTAAGACAAATGTTGTTGCATCTGTCGATATTTAAATGAAAACTTGAAAATAGAAAATTTTAAAAATTTTTGTTTGTATAAGTACACAAAAAATAGTATGGTCGAGTATGGTCAAGTATACTCTGTATGAGCCCATCTATATATCTTGACTTCAACATTAACAAATGCAAGATTTAAACTAGAAAATCAACCTTCACCGAATGAAAAACAATAATTATGTTTATTTTTTGATCATTTTTATTAACATTTAAAATGCATTTAAGTTTTTTGAAAATATTTTCTTTATGCATTGTTATTCTTTTTTGACTTTCATTTTCTTACACTTTTACTATCGAAAATAATTCAATTTATTATTATGCAACATATAAATTTTTTATGATTACAATCAAATGTTTAATGGTGAATGTAGAATTGTCACACAAGATTGCTATTCGCGCACTTTTCGTCACACATTTCTTTTGATTTGATTTTATTTTCTTATGATAAGCGGATATTTATTTCAATTACGTATTGGACAAGGATTTTAGGGTCAAAGGTGTACCCAGGGATTTTCTTTTTTTCAAAAGAATTTGCGTTGAAAATATATTTTAAAATTTATCTGGATACTCTGCTGATTTTTACGATTTTTATTAATATTTATAGTATTTATAGCTCTTCCAACTTGAACTATTATTATCTCGCTCTGATTCCCACTTCCTCAAAATTCTTCAAAGTTTGAATTGAGTTTTAATGCTATAATCTTATTCAAGTAATTTTCCATAAGTCACTCAAAACATTATTTATATATATTTACATGCTAGACTCATGTTGGTTACTTCACAGCACATTTTCCCATGCGAAAACCCCTTGAAGATGTTAGAACGTAAAAAGATTAAAAATTTATATGAAAAGATTTTATACTTATCGAATATCTCATTGCTCTGGAGATATAAACAATAAAAAAAAATGTTTTATGATTCGAAAAAAACAAGAAAAGATTTTTGTGATTTTTTTTATCACATTTCGTAAACCTTTTCCTTTATTTTTACGATTTCTCTTTCACTCATCGCTCGTACGATAATCCAGTTCTATAAAGTCTAACACTATGATTATTAGTAGTTTATTGAAATCCACTATAAACATATCATAAGTTAGTGAAACTTTACTTCTAAATGCTTCTTAATGGTTGTTGTATTATTATTGTATTATTCACGTGACAAAAAATGTGTTGGAGGCTTCCAAACCAAAACTTCAAAGAGCACAAAACCTTTAGATAATAAAAATGTTTAAAGCACTTTTATGTCTATCATGGGAGGCTTCTTAGCTTCAAACTTTTTTGTGGCATTATAAAAATTTAACCATAATTTGTGTAATTTCCGTTTTTTGATGGTTAAGTCTTCAATTATTCTATGTGTACGTAAAATGTATTATTATCATTATGATTTAAAATATGTGTGAGAAGATATTTAAGCAGTTTTATCTATATTTATCTTTAGATCCTATCTCCCATTTTTTGCTCCTGTGTATCTATAAAGTTTGCTCAATATACGAATGTCATTCATTGTTGTCCTTCTCTTCTATTCCTTATCTTATTAAAACGTGATGATGGTTTCAAAATTATATTTTTTTTATCTTTTTCTTTCTATATATCTTTCTCTGTTGCTGTCTACTGAATACAATCATTCGTGGTCGCACAACATGATACACTCTCATAAACAAAACATAAACCAAATAAAAATTAAAAAAAAAAACTAATCATATAAAATTTTAAAAAAATTTTATGAATGTATGTTCAACATATCTTCCTCTACCACTCAAATAATATAATAATTATATTCTTGAATCATAAAAAAAACTATAAACCATCATCCTCTATCTATCATGGGCAGTAATGATTTTTTCGGAATGCAAAATTATAAATTCATAGTGAGTTCAACCGAAGATTCAATTCATAGTAGCTCGTCATGTATTAGTTCAGAATCAAGACGTTCGCCTCCTCCTGCATGGCAAAAAGAATGTTACCGGTAAGTGTCTTCCTTTCCTTCTTCCCGCAACTTTCTCTCTTTGTTTAAACATCATTCATCCTATATAGATGAAAAAGAATTGCATAAATTAGGAATGCGATTGAATGTGTACATATTCGTGCCTTTATTAGATAATTAGTCCTGCGAGGTTTATAGTTGACAAGTTGAACTAATCATTTATTATTATTTTATTAATTAACTAATTGACATTTTTTTTATCATAATTTATAAATTTATCTCCAGCAGCAAATCTATTCAGAATATTAACAACATTTCGTTAAATTAATAGTTTCAAATTTTATAAATTTAAAGGGGATCGGAAGCATCTTGAACTTAAATGTAGAATTTGGCCGTAAAAAAATAAAGGTTGGGCCACTCAATAAATAAAACTTGTACGAGGAGTCAAGAGGGGGACGGTGATTTTATCTAAGTGTTCTACTTGCCATTAATTTTAACAATGCGTTAATGGTTACGATATTGCTCCTTTTTGCTCTGGCTACACCCATGATCCTCGAACATACCTGAACATACTGTTCAAATTATGTCCATATTGAATTTTTATTGAATTGTGATTTTGAAAAAAATTCGCTGCAGGGACTTATGGCTTTAGTTAATTAATTTCATGCTGTTTTAATAATGTAAACATTAACCATAATCTATTCATATGCCTTTACTTCATTTTTTATTATTTAATCATTTGGTATTCATATTTAAATGATGTTTAAATGTGATTATGTCTGATAATTTATTGATGTATATTGGTGCCTTTGTAGACTCATAACTGCATATAGTATAAAGTAATGTCCTGTTCATTTTGTTTAACATTTATTGATAGTGTAAATTAACAGATAGTGTATGAAATAACAGCACATGCTATTTTCTCATGTTGAGAACTTCTGGAATTAATGAAACGTAAAACCAATTTAAAACAACCAGTATTATTGAATCAATTATGGATAATTATTTACCTCATATAGAAGGATTTAAAAAAAATATTTTTAATTTGAATACACAACACTAAACAACCACACAAAAATAATAATGATCAATCAAACCATAAACACTCAATTAATGTTTGAGTTAAAATTATGTTTTTTAAAAAAAAAATAATTGTATAAATTCTACACATAACTCATGAAAACTTTGCAATATTTTACTTTTAACAGACAAATAGGCCAGAATGATAATTTCATGAATTTCAATGCTTTAATATCTTTGTTTTGTTATTGAAATCAATAGGCTATGCCTGCATATATAAACTTCATGTTAAGAATATTGAATGATGAATGCACTGGTAGCAATTAGAATTTTCTTCATGTTTTCCTTTTCATTTTATTTTGGTTTGTTTACTTCACGGCTCTTTAGTATGCTGTTTAAATGAATTTTATATTCTTTCTTTGGCTTTATTTTAATCATGAGTTTTAATTGTGGTTTTTATTCCCTCCTTTTCGTTGGGATTCTTTATGCAGGAAACTTTTATTTATTCGCATAAACTTAATAATAGATTACAAAAAATTTACATATGCTGGCTTTGAGATTTTTGTGTTTCTAGTGCTGAATCCTGCGGAAAGAATTGAGATTTACCCCATACATTATTAATTATTTTTTTACTTACACATTAAAAGATTTTTGTTGAAGAATAACCCAAGAAAAAATTATTTTACAGAATCATCAAGGGATTTCCACCCGTTAGTCCATTTATTGGAGTAAGTCCTACGCTATGTTATTTACTAAAGGAGAAGAAGCCCTTATGTTGCTTACAATTAGCTCAGGTAATAAGAATAAAACGAAATATGATGAGTATAATACTTTTTGTTAAGCTTCTTAGTCGATTTTATCTTTAAGCACAGATCTTTTAAAACAATGAACGAAAGTATCTTAGTTTCTAATTAGGAAATTCTTCGCAAATGACATCTTTAGATTTATCATTCTTAAAACGCCTCTCAATTAAAATCTAATTAATTGATTTTTTTTTTGTTACATCCAAAGAATGTCACTTTCCATTTTAAAACTTTGGTAAAAAATTTCTTTTCGAATTCCTTTAAAAACTAAAGTTTGCTGGTAAATGAGATTGAATACAAAGTGAATCGAATGCCATCTAAAAGTCCATTTAATTGTTTTATAGAGAAAAATAATAGTAAATCATGCGATTCGACTTGTGCAAAATCTGTTGAAGTATTAAATGTTTGTCATTACAAGCAGTTAAGATCAGCTGATAATGAATGTTTAACTTACTGCTGTAAAATAAGCAAGCATTAAAAAATTTCCCTCAACATTTTCTTCTTACAATTTAGGTCTGTGAACATTGCAGTTATCGTAATGCTAAGGAATATCAATGGCAAAACAAAACCATAATTTTGGCAGCTGACTACGCCTCAAATGGCATTTACAATTTTATAATTCCATTGCGTGCTCACTTTAAGTCGAAAACATCGTTAAATCCAATAATATTGCTTTTAGAACGACGTCCTGACATTGCGTTTCTTGATGCCATTTCCTATTTTCCATTGGTAAGTGCCTTTCCTTTCTTTTATTCACTCACTGCTTCTGTATATCTCTCCATATCCGTGGTAATTCACGTTTACTGGCTTCATAAGAAAAATGTAATCCTAGTAAAACAAACATTGATATAAAAAATTTGACAAGATTTTTATTAAATGGTTGTCTATAAATCCAGATAATGGCTTTGCTATTCTTTTGCCCTTAACTTATCCCCATGTACATATCGTCAAATCAACGAGGGTTAAACTAAAAGGAAAAGAAACCAGAAATAAATATATTTTATTATGATTTTTACCTCCCTTACTAGGTTTATTGGATGCTAGGCTCAATTGATTGTCTAGATGACTTATTGCGGGCCGGCATAACATTAGCCGATAATGTTGTGGTTGTCAATAAAGAAATTTCAAATTCAGCTGAGGAGGATACGTTAGGTGATTGTAATACAATTGTTGCTGTACAAACAATGTTCAAGTAAGAATCATGAGTGTTTTTATTTGAGTATGTAGCTGACATTTTAATTACTGAGTTGAATGAAAACCATATACGATACCTTTTTAACACAATTTCATATCCTTTATTTTTGTTAGATTTTTCCCAAACATTCGAAGTATAACAGAGCTTTCACAGAGTTCAAACATGAGATTTATGCAGTTCCGAGCACATGACAAATATGCACTTCACTTAAGTAAGATGGAAAAGGTAAGTAATTCATCCTTAACATTATGTCACTTGTATGACATGTGAATATTTTTCACTTACAGCGCGAAAAAGAAAGAGGCTCACACATATCATATATGTTTCGACTTCCATTTGCTGCCGGTGCTGTTTTTAGTGCTTCGATGCTTGACACGTTATTATATCAGGCATTCATAAAGGATTACATAATAACATTTGTCAGACTGTTGTTGGGTATTGATCAGGCGCCAGGAAGTGGATTTCTCACTTCGGTAAAATTGATTAAAATTGATTTACTTGTCAACTGCTGATTTTGTACCCATTTTTATCCCACATAGATGAAAATAACAAAAGAGGACATGTGGATACGCACATATGGGCGGTTATATCAAAAACTATGTTCAACGACATGTGAAATTCCAATTGGAATTTATAGAACACAAGAGACGACAAATTTGGATGCATCTCATGTGAGTACTTCGCCCTTACATAATTCTCCGTTTAATTTTGGTGGATTTTTTGGTGGGAAACAAAAACAAAAACATTGCGTGCGGTTGCAACCTTCGGTGAGTTACTAAAAAAATAAAAACTAAATCAAGCAAAATGATTAAAAAATATTCCAAAAAATTTCAAAAATTAAAATTTAAAAATATCACCAATCAAATCACATTTATGCTCTCTCTGTCTTCATTTAATTTAAATTAAAATCAAAAATATTTTCTGCGCGACACTTTAAATAATGTTTTATGAAAATCAAAAGGAAATTGATTTAATTTCGTTATAATTTCATTTATTTATTCATCATATTCACGAATAAGAGTTCTTTTTCCACTTGTCGATGCTGAAAAAAAAATATTTGACGCATTTTCAGTAATGTAAATTAAACAACGAACATAAAACACGAAGCTTTAATTTTTTATACTTGCAATTCTCTTTCATTTCATTCCCCTTTTATTATTTTTATATTAATTTGCCAAAAGGCATTTCGTGCTCGATGAGTATTGTTCAAGTTAAAGAAAGGTTAAGTTTGTCATCACATTTTACTTAAAATTTTATCATCACTAACCGAAACTAGAAATTGGTTTAGGCATTTTTCCTAGCTACATATTTTAGTATAGTGGAAATCATTTATGTTTATTTTTTGTCCGAATGTAAACTGTTTTAATATGATCAAAAGCTCAAAGTCGAGCTTTATAAGAAAACTCGACTTAAATAAGTCAACTCAACTTCATTCAAAATAGTTCTGATTGCAGTTTTCAAAATTGTTTCTTAATAATTGTTATTGAGATTTTTGATAAAAATTTCGTAGAGATCACAAGGTTTACAAATACAATACGCGGAACCCTTATCTCGAATTTATCCTTTCTTAACATCAATGCTCGTGGAGGTAACATACATTGAGAGACAATAAACAAATAAAACAGAGGAAAAAAAAAGTGAAAAGAAAAACAAACAAAAATACACCTTTTTCAAATCCTTCTAACATCACTACTGACATGATAACAGACAAAGTTTACAGAACATGATATTCTACAATAAAAACAAAATTTTGTTGCATTAAATAGATTGCAAAAAAATAATATAATTTACTATTTACGCTTCCTACAATCTCATTTAAGCCTCTCAAATTTTCATTTTTTCTATTAAGTTATTTACATTAAAGACAGTATATGTTTCATTCTCATGCTTATGAATATTGACGATGTACAATTCCGCACATAAAAACGTTTAAATTTTTTTTTTACAAATTTAACAGCAAGAATGTAGAACAGATTTAAATTTTTTCTATTTTTTACCTTTAAATTTTTTAAGAGCTGGATTTGATTTTTGAACAATACTTTACTGTATATTTTTTGCATCCCTTAAAATGTCCAAGATTAAACATTTCCTTTCTTCTATCTTCATCATTCTAAAGCTTCAAAAATTCATGATGGAAAATTTTTTAATCGATAATTTAATAAATAATAATTAGGTTTTATTTTTTTTTGTCTTATAAAATTACATTTATTTTCGTAAGATCTCCGATGAATGATATAGCTCGTGTTAAAGTGTCATTAATTTAACCTAATTTGTTCCTTGATGTCATTCATTCAACGGAGCTCGTGATTGCTTTCTTCCTATTCTTACAATAATCATAATAAATTAGGGTATTTTATGGAAGCATATACGCTTTAGTGTTCATTTTAGCAAATTAACTTGATGATTCAATCAATTTGCACTGTAAATATTTCAAGATTTCTTGGTCTTCTTTAATATACTGGCTATATTAGAAAATGTTCAGTGTTTTGTTACTTACTATTTTAAATTCTATTAATTGCTAAAGTTACATAAAGTTTTCTAGCAATTTACATTGAATTAAGGGTCATTCATTAGCGATGTCCAACATTTAAAGTGTGTTACATATGAATAAAACTATTTTAAAAACTGCTGTTTGCTTGATACCTTAACAGTATCATCAAAGTTTATGTGTATGTTAAGCATACTTACAACAAACATTTTAAACTTAAAATTATCTCTATATTTTCATGTTTGATGACTTCAAAAAGGTCATGAAAATTATTCATTGTTCCGCGAGACTTTTTAAGTTAAAAATATGCCTTGGGCGATAAACTTTTGGGAAACACTGGCATAAACTCTAAAATTCATAGAAAATGTATGGATTACTTCAATGTTAAAGATTTAACTTTAAGACAAAAAAGAAATTAATAAATTTTATTTTACTTTTATTTTCAATCATTTTTTTACAATTTATTATCTTATTTCATATTTAATGAGCCTTCCATATAAAATTTGAATATTCTCCCTCTTTCTAATTAAGTATGAAGAGCATTTTTATGTTTTTTGATATTTTGTTATATGAAACCTACTTACTTATTAAATCGAAATTGTCATTTCTAAATCATAAAATAAAGAATCTCAAAAAAAAAATACCTTTTAAAGTAAAACTTATAAATCATTTGGTTGCACACGCACACAGTGAGTGAATTATTATAATTCTTTGAATAAATGAAAATTCTATGTTCCTAACCTATTGTTTTTTGGGTAAACTTGTGTTCTTAAAAAATGAGATCCTGTTTAAATGTAAATTTTTGAGTTTTTAGAAGCTATAGATTGTAGAAGTGCCTAACAGTACTAAAAAATTTGTTTATTACTAGAATGAATGTTTTAGAATTTTTAATTTTTGTGAAAAAGTGTTATCGTCACTCATTATATTCATTCCCATTAATCAACACTTAGTCAAAGCACAATTTTAAAACGATTTAGCATCAATTTTTGCAAACGTTTTAACCAAAAAAAAAAATACTTGTTTAATTCCTTTTTACCACGTTTTTTTAATTTCCCAAAATACAACAAAAAAATTCAAAATTTCTTTCACGCCAAATTTTCCTTTTAAATTTCCTCTGAACCCTAAATTGACTGTTTTTAAATTTGACACAAAAAAATAAGAAATTCGAAAGTTTAAATAAAAAACAAATTGAACAAAAATTTTCTTTATTAATCGTTCGCCTCATTCATAATCGCATGCCAAAATAAAATCATAAAATAATTAGTATGATGTGGAATGTACGACAAGCGGAAAGTCTAAAGGAACAGTGGAATCAAATTTAAAACCTACTGTCACTTACCGTCCACAACAAATTAAAAAGTCTACATCTTGTTTGGGCGGATGCTCTGATAGACGAGGATCAGCTGTGAGTAGATTTGATTTCATAAGAGACAAAAAAAGGTGGAAAGCAATCCTTTTTTTTAAAACCTTTATATTACTTTCCTTATTTTACCTCGTTTCATTCTTAAAAGTTCACATCCATTCTGTAAAAATCCTTTTTACAATGCTTCCTTCTCTTGTCGTATCCATTTGAATTTTCCTTCTTATTTTATCTCCTCTTATAAATTTTTTTTTACTATTGTTTTGTATTACAATAAATTTTGTGTTTAATACTAAAAATCTCATTCAGTGGTAAGTACCAAAGTTGTTTTCATGCTTCCTTCATCTCATATTCTTATTCCTATCTTTCCGCTACTTCAATTTTTTTTCTTGCATTACTTCTTCCTTTTGTGTACATTAAGTACATATACACATCTGATTTAAGGAAAATAATGTCTGAAAATTCCGGAAAAAATTAAAATTTCAACACATCAGAGATTGAGAATTTGAAGGTTGAATGGAGCTTTAAGATATGCTTTTATCGGATGAAAGGGTTTATTAAATTTTCTTGTTTTTTGAGATAAAAACGTGAGTGCTTTAAAATTGTTGTGAGTTGATATAATCTGGTTGATATTTCAAAGAAATTGATCAAATATTGAAAAGCAATTTTGCTACTGTAAGCCTGCTCAATATGTAAAGCTGAATATTCACTTTAAAATAATTCAACACTTTAAATAAATTTGAAATCAAACAAAAACCTTAAAAATTATCTCTTCGAGGAACCAAAAAATGCTTCCTATTTTTTGTTGCTTATTGAATAACTCAAAGCAGTAGAAATTCAAAATTTACTGGCCCTCAAATTGCTTACGTACTTTCTCTGATAAATTTAATTTAAAATTTTGTTACGATAATCTTGAGGATTTTAGTAATCTTTCAAGTCATTTTTTGAAGAATAAATGATGCCTCGTAAAGTCTTGGGTATGGCTTAGAATGGCGATCTTAAGAGATTTAATAAAATTCAAAGCCAATTCACCTTTGGTAATCTGTAATTTTATCAGAAATCTAAGATAAAGTTTAATATTTATGTGCCATGATTTTAATTCAACATGTAATATTTCAAGTAGCTCGATTAAAGTAAATGTAGCAAGAAATTTATTTTTGTGTCAAGAATGATTTTCTTAGCGTTTTTCCACTTTTACCATCTTTCTCAAACTCTGCTGCTGATTTTTTATTTTATTCTCAAAAACTTTATTGATTATCCATTTTTCAAATTCCCTGCCATGGTTTTGACACTATTGCAATTGGCTTGCATAATTGGCATTTTGATATTTTTAACAAATGTATAATAAAGCGGAAGGATTATGTGCGCTCAATTTAATTTTACTAAATTTTTCATTCCGATCATTTATTTCCATAGTTGAATGCAATTTTAATGACTATATTAGCATTTTAGAAGCGTAGAGCTTCGTTTCATTTTCCAATGAATGCTTTTCATATGTTAGCTTTCTTACTCCTTTTTCTAATCCTTTTTTTGATTATTCAACTTTACTAATGTCATGTTAAAAACTATACAAATTGGTCAATGAAAAAAAAAAAAAAATATTAAAATAATTTCCATAACATTGGGTTGATAAAAATTCATACACTGAAAAACGACAGCATTATGATTTATTTTATTTTCGTTTTGTGTACGTTATGATTTATTCATCGCCTTAAAGTCTCATTTTTTATGTTTTATGCATTGCTTCCTGATAAAAATATAACAAAAATCTCTCCCTTATAAAAAAAAATATATATCAATTCTATAAATCCACAAGTTTTTCAGGACAAACCATATTTTTTTATCTTATTTCCTTCGCTTAATAATTAGTACTCGCTTAATATGGTTGATGAGGCACGTGACAATCACGCTCAGCAAATAGAAAGGGCCGAAATAGGGAATTTAGTCAGGAGTCGAATGGAATCACTTAATCTTCCAAGTAATGACTATGATGAAGTCAGTGAGAAACGTAACCATTTGTCCTATGTTATCATTAATCCATCGTGTGATTTAAAACTTGAAGAAGGCGACGTCATGTAAGTTATTTATATTAACGAGGATAATTAGGAGTCAACATAATCATCATGCTAACTTTATCATTTTTCATCATTAAAGTTACATCGTAAGACCATCACCGTTCTCAGCACAAAAGACGTTCGAGAGACACAACTCTAGGAGGAAATCTAATATATCATTCTGTTCAAATATGAATTTAGCAGCCAATTCAGGAGGTGGCCAGGCATCACGGAGAGGTTCAGGAATAGCAATGAATTCACAAATTCCAAGTGGTTATCCCAGTCCGCGTGCTCCTCCACTTGTTACACAACAAAAATCAAATTCACTTTCACTTCCAGACAGTCCATCAACTGCGGGTCAGGCGCGAGGGCGCAGCAATTCTCTGAGGGTTAGTAACAATTCATGCAAACGTGTTTAATTAAATTACTAATGAAAATAACTTTTTTTTTCAGATTGACAATGACATTCTACTTAGGCGTTCTAATTCATTAAGGCAGGGTCTACCAAATATCGGAATGAACACAGGCAGAAGAAAGTCATCACTTGAGGAAATTGGTATCAGCCATTTTACGACTTTGATGCAAGCCAGTAATCACTCAAATCCTATCAAATTCTCTCTTAATGGAAGTATTGGATTAGAGGTGGGTTCATGATGAATTTTTTATGAGCAATTTTACAATCCATAAAGAGTTTGATGAATATTTCAGCATAAAAAAGTGATTAACAGCTTTGTAAAAGAAGTTATTGCTGTTTCTAAAATAAGTCATTTACTTTAGGGAAATTGTTTACGACTATTGTGCTTTATTTAACCTTTAATAACTATGCCAGAATTAGCATAACAATAATTATGTCGAGTTTAATTAACAATTCGTGATGTCTTTCAGGTGACTCCACCAGAAGAGCCAACACCAATGATTGGACTTCCATGTAGTGGTGGAATAAATCCTTCAATATTAGGGGGCTCATCAATGGGACTCAATCAACAATCAGACGCTCCAATGCACACCTCAATACAAATTAGTGGTCCAGAATCACAGCAACAACAAATTCCACAATCCTCACATCACCTCCAAGGGACAATTGTATGATATAATCTTATGTGGGGACGTAGGTATGAATGTGATTTTATGATAGTAATCATGAAATACCAATGATATTAATATGCATGAATCTGTATATCTACATTAATTGTTTAACCTTTCAGACGATCCTCAATTAGATCAAACAAATGGATTTAATAGTCACCACACCATCGCCATTTGTTTAGTGATTATGATTATGTGTAGTTACAACACCAACAAAATTTATTGTTTTGTTTCTCATACCTTTTTATTTGAGTTCATACTTTTCATGAACTAACAATCATCCATCAATTATCATCAGTGAGAAAAGAAAAAGTTTATAAAAACTACAGTGGTCCAACATTTAAACAATCTTACACAACATAAAATTAGTCCTCAAACGCCACAGTCCACAAACAAATACACACTTACTTAATATTCTGGAGCAAACGACAGATAAACACTAAAACAGAACTTTTTTGATAACGAATGATCATCATTAATAATGAGTGATCAAGTTAGAGAGAAAAAATTATGTCCATTAAATTCTGAGAACTTAAATTAATAGAAAGTCACTTTTGATGCTCCTACTTACATTTATGAAATTATAAAATATTTAAGCAAGGACCGTAGAAAATCACAAAATTAATATTTGTGTGTAAATAACCTAGTAAAATAGATTAAGCATTTTGTAAGAACTACACAGTCTTATTAAAGATTCATAAAAAAAAGTTTCTAGTTAAAAATTATTAAAACAATTATTATTATTATTATCATTTTTTATTTTTCTCGAAATTATTAAGGTTCTTATATTTGCTCATTTTTTTTTTGTTTTCTTAATATGTTCATCAAATGAGCGTATGTAACATTTAGGCTGATATCTCAAAAGATTCTTCAGAAGATGCATAGCATTAATTTTTAATCAGAATTTAAGTATTTCCGTTTTAGGTTCAAGATCTTTAATGGGCCCTCAACAATCGAACAACCACATGGTCCTTTTCCGATTGATTTTTTTAACAGTTTATTCATTGAAGAAAAGGAAGTATATTAAGACCGTAAAATTTGAATTATGCAAAAACGCTGAGCTCTTTTTCTGAAGAATGAATATGATAATCCCCCCCCCCCCCCCCCCATCGCATACATATATACAGCAACTATATATCCTTCTAATCTTTTTTGATACCTTTCATTCTTCTCCTCAATCAAAGGCTTTCTTTTTACTGCACAACATCCTTTAAAGTTTTTCGTCTTTGCTTGACAAAAAAAAATATGTATGTTGATTCAACTTATGGTACAGAAAACAGCATCAGGTCCTTCCTCGATTGAGGGTCAAACATCATTTCTGAACGATACCTTTAGCTATATTTATTAAATTAAAATGAGACGAAATCTTTAATATGACCCAAAATGTGAATGTTTTTCCACCATAGCTTTATGAATAGTCTGAATGAGTAGTTATTTTTTAAAAATAAAAAGATTTAAAGAATTTTTAAACAAACCCTAGTTTTTTGATGTCGAAAATTCTAATCTTGTTGACCTCTCCAACAGCTTTACTTGTTAAATAATACTATTAATAATAAAAAAAATATTAATTTGATCAACTCTTTAAGACAAAGGAAAGATGAAACTCTAATTAGCATTATATTAAAATATAATAATTAATTTAACTTAGTCAATGTTGAATAAATTTTTTTATATACTTACCTAAAGAAAGGATATAAAAATTGAGATTATTTTTAATTCAAAAAATTCTAGAAATTTGTTAGACGCAAAAAAATTCATTCAAAAAAAAAAGGAAAAAAAATCTACAAGAGAATTTTAAAGTATAGTGAATTTAATAAAGAAAAACACAAAATGTATGAAAGTTGAAAAACGCTTTGGTAAAAAACTTCGCTTTATACTCAGTTGTACGGCAACTGAAACTCAAAAAAAAAACACACATATAAAAAAATTCTTGTAAATAATTAAGTGAAATGAATTTCTTTCTTTCTTTTTAAAATTTTAATTATTCATAGAGTCAGTCATTAAGATATTTAATCATCAACAACCCATGAAATTGAAAAGAAAATCCATAAATTGTATCTTATAAATGGTAGAAAAAGGCCTTTTTCAATCTCATCATTTACTTTGACGTCTCGTAAGTCGTTTGTACAAAAAAAAAGCACCAATAATAATGGAAAACATCATCTTTCGCAAATATATCTTTTTTAATATTAATTAATATAGAAAGGCCTTAACATTTAAATGAATTAAAAAATATATTGGAAACAAAATATATTAAAATTATTAATTTTTTTTTCTTAAATTTACTTTAACCCATTACTTTCTCACGAAGCACATACACACATTTATTACAATCCAGGTAATATTTACTTAAATTACTTTTTAATAAATTTAAAAGACGTCGAATCAAAAAGAAAATTGGAATCAATTAAAGTTAAAATGAGAAATTAGAGAATACGAATTAGAAAAGATTAAGAAAATTGGATTATATATCTGTTAGATGTATTTAAAGATATTTAAAAATCGGAAAATAAAAATCATTGAAATTCTTTTTTAAAAGGAAGACACGTGGATAGTCTTTTAAATTTATCAACGGTTTTTTCAATTCGTCCTGAAAGCTTTTGCTCTTTTTGTGAGCTTTCAAAAACTTTTGCTCTTTTTGTGAGCTTTCAAAAACTTTTGCTCAGTTTTAAGCAACAAAACAAAACAAATTTTTCACTCCAACTTAAATCAATTAAAAATGACGGAAAAACTCAAAGTGTAAGTATATTTACTATTGTTAAATTAATAATAACTATAAGATCTATTTTTAGGCTTGTTTGTGGCGACATTGAGTCTAATTTTGATGTGATATTCGACAAAGTTAGGAATTTAAACAAAAAAACACCTTTTGCATTTCTTTTATGTGTCGGTAATTTCTTCACAGATGGAAATTATGAAGCATTAGAAAAGTACAAGTCAGGAATTAAAAATATACCAATTCCTACATATATCCTTGGCCCAAACTCAAAAGCACAAGAGGAAATTTACAATAAACTCAACATCAACGAAACAAACAATGAGATCTGTCCAAATCTTAATTATCTTGGAAGGAAAGGAGTTTATACACTAAGTTCAAAGTTTACGTTGGCATATTTGTCAGGCAAACAAGTTCCAGAAGGTGAGGATAAGGAACCATGGCAGTTTGATAAGAAAGATGTTCTAGCTGTAAGAAATGCAGCTCTGAAAAATTTCAGTAATATTGATGATTATCGAGGAATCGATTTCCTTTTAACATCACAATGGGCTGATGGAATTACTGAAAGTGAAGAGAAAGACACTTCAAAACTTGTTTCATTTTTATCTCTAAATGTCAAGCCAAGATATCATTTTTGCGCACTAAATGATAAACATTTCGAGAAATTGCCATTTAGATTACCTGCAGTCAATATAAGAAGTATTGAGCCTGTTTCAAGATTTATATCACTAGCCAAGGTTAATAATCCAGCGAAGAGCAAATTTCTGTACGCTATGAACATTCAGCCATTAATTGAAATGAGACTTACAGAGCTAATGATGAAATCAACTGACGAAATAGAATGTCCTTATATTTCAATGGATTTCTCTACAGTCATTGGTGAGGAGAAGGAATCTTCTAACGCACAATTCTTCTGGGGATCACCTAGTGACAATAATGAACAAAATAGGAGGAGACAACGCAATGATCAGCAACAAAATAAAAGATTTAAGCCAATGATTGATCAGGATAAATGTTGGTTCTGTTTACAAAGTCCAGACATCGACAAGCACTTAATCATATCAATTGGTGAGCATTTCTATCTTGCTCTAGCCAAAAGTCCTGTCAATGATTACCACGTATTAATTATTCCCATTTCACACATTCAGGCAGTTTCTCATCTTACAGATGAACTTTTTCAAGAACTGGATATATTTAAAAAGTCAATTAAAAAGTTTTATGAGAGCCTTAACATGGTTGCTGTATTTTTTGAACGAAATTATCTAACATCGCATTCAATTGTCAATGCTGTACCAATTTCTCATGATTTAGAATGGCAACTACCTGAAACTTTGAAAGATAAAGCTGAAGAGTTTTCATTGTCGTTTGAGACAATCCCAAAAATAACATCACCAAAGGATTTACCAGAAAAAGGAGCATACTTTATAGTCGAATTTGGTCAAGAAACTCAAATTACACGCTCAATGAAGCACTTTCCGATAAATTTTGGACGAGATTTTGTATGTGCTGAACCATTATTAAATTGCGAAAGCAAAGTTGACTGGAAGAACTGTAAATTGCCTGTTCACATTGAAGAAGACTTGGTCACTAAATTCAAAGAAGCATACAAGCCGTTCGACTTCAATGACAAAGAAGATGATAGTGATTAAATGTAATTACATATAATTTTATAATCATTAATTACCAATAAATAAATTTAGACTTGTTTTTAAGTCTGTCGCATTTGTGACCAAAATTTTTTTTTTTTATTTTTGTATTAGCATGATCAATAACTAGATAATAATTAATCTATATCATAAAATATCCATTCCTGAAGAGCTGGTTCCCAGCTTACTAGTTCGTGCGGCTGTAAAAATAGAGTTATTAGATTAAATTATTTCTTGTGGAATTTAAGACAGTATCAAATTTTGAGACATATACTTTAAACCATAATCCGATTTCCCTATTTGCCTCCTGAACAGAATGAGCACCATGAACAACTGTAAGGCCTTGAAATAAACAGAAGTCGCCTCGAATGGTCCCAATTGGAGATTCAGAAGGATTAGTTTCCCCTATTATATTACGTCCGAATTCGACTGCATTGTATCCCTCCCATACCATCGGAATTACAGGCCCTGAAATGATGTGTGTTGATTTTTATGCAATCAATCATTACATTGTATTCTACCTGAAGTCATATACTCTATCAAACCAGAATAGAATGGTTGATTCTTTAAATGTTCATAATGCTCTGCAACTGTCTGACTTTGTGCCTATAAATTTCAAATTATGCAATAGTTTTAATTGTGCCTACACACATTTTTCATTCATGGATATGTGCTGGTAAATGACTTTTTATGATTAAAATTTGCATTTTGTATGTGAAAAGATTTACCTTAATAAGCTTCATTCCAACTAGTTTCAATCCCTTCTTCTCGAATCTTTTAATAATTTCATGTACAAGACCACGCTGAAGTCCATCTGGTTTCACCATAATATATGTTCTTTCCTGTTGTTTAGAAGAATGATTGCTTGAAACATCAGTGTGACTGAATCCAAAGCACAGAGCTATAAAAATGATGAAGATTTGATAGTGAACCATCTTGATAGAGTTAATTTGCTAAACTGAGACTTAATTAAACTTATCTCTCTTAATATACCCATGCGTAGGAGCGATAAATGTGGAGATGAACAAATGACTGAATATCAAGAGTTACCATTTTTCCATCATTGTCCAAACAGGGGCTGAGTATCGAACGTGAATTCCAAACAGCTTGAGATTTCAATGCATCAATTATTACCGTTATTATGCCTCTATATTAAGCATCATTATATTTACAGCTTTTATAACTGTTTATTGTTTTGTCACTGAAATGCTAGATAATGAATAGACTTAAAATAAAAATAAGGAACGAGACAATTTACGATTAAAGGAAATTGTTTTATTTTTCAAGTTTCCATGTAACTTAGTAAATAGGATTGTTTTTCTTTTCAGTAATCAACGTGAGTGAACTGGAATAAATGTAAAAGATCGCGTATCTTGTGGGAAGGATGTAAATCCTCCTAAATGCATGATTGATAATTTATTCATATACCCAGTTAACTGCTGCTGGCTTCCAGCTTACCAATTCATTGTCCTATAAATGGTATTTAAAGATCTTGATTAGATAAATGACAAATTATTGACAGTTATAACTTACATTGAACCACAAAGCAATTTCCTTATTTGCACTTTCAACAGAGTCTGATCCATGAATAATATTACGACCAACTTGGACGCATAAATCTCCACGAATTGTGCCTGGGGCTGAATCTGCTGGATTTGTTGCTCCCAACATTACACGTCCGGTTTTGACGGCATTTAAACCTTCCCAAACCATTGGAACAACTGGGCCTGATGACATGTAGGTGACTAAACCAGGGAAGAATGGACGTGAGCTCAAATCTGAGTAGTGCTTTTCCAAGAGTTCCTTTGAAGCCTGTGAATAAACAAAATCATAATATATTCATGTTTTTTTACGACTGGATCTTTAAAAATGACATCAAATTGCATCTTTCTAGTTAGAGTTACAGCAGTGAATATTATTCAGTCTGGATTAGCCCAACATAAGATAAGAAATTTTTATTTATAAAAATTGCACAATTATATAAGAAAAGTCGATTCTGAGGAAAATCAATGATCCAATAAATGATGGTAAGGCTCAATGTCAAATATTACTGTATACTTTATGCAATAAGCCGATGTAAAGGATATTTTAAGGTTATGAAACATTGCGAAAATTAAATGTTACTTACCCACATAAATTTCATGGCTACAAGCTTGAATCCTTTAGCTTCGAATCTCTTGATGATATCTCCAACGATTCCACGTTGAACAGCATCAGGCTTCAACATAATAAATGTTCTTTCTGAATTTGCCATGTTATTATTATAGTTTGAATGATTCAGACTAAAGCACAGGAAGATAAACAAAATGAATAGTTGATTTTGCAACAGCTTGCGAGGATTAGAAAAGCAATCAAAGAACTGAAATTTCATTTAATTATAGTTTTAACTAAATCCAAAAAAAAAATCTTTAATAATTCAAATTAATTCCGTCAATTTACTTACACTTCTTATGTGGCAGAAATCTCTCAAAAAAGTGAGAATTCTTGATAATTATTTTGCGAAAAACGAGCTCAAAGCTGATTCTACAGTTGATTTTCAATTTTCTCTTGGATCTCAAAAAGCTCAACTTGTTGCTCAATTTTTAAAAGACTTTTGTTTTGAAAAAACGAGTGTAGAAGATATTTTTCTAAATTTTGTTATTTACTAGCGATGGACGGTACTTGGGAGAGATTAAAGGTGCTGTTTCCAGTCATAAGCAGTTCTGTAAGTAAATTAATCTAAAATTTTACTTTATTAATACTTGTTTACATGATTATTATTGAAAATATATTTAAGCTAGCAGAATCGGAAGTTACAAAAGAAAATATTGACTCAATTTATCTGGAATTAGTGTCATTAGGTGTACTGGAAGAAGTTTCTCAATTAATTTGTATTGAAATAGATAAAACGTTGCAAACGCAAGTAGTTCCTGAGTTTTGGAAGATATTTGACACTAATTTAGATGCGCAATCTGATAATCAAGCTAGAGAAAGATGTGAATTTCAGCTGTTTCGGACCACAGTTTTGCAGCTATATAAAAAATTTCAAATAATCAATCGAATGCTCGAACGACTGAAATATCTTTATGAGAAATCAGGAACAAAATTCATTTATAATTTTGATGAAATATTCAAGTCAGTCTTACTGTCTCAACTTCCAAATAATTTTACCAAACTTGTGTATTCATTTTATCATATATCCTTTAACGTATTCATAAATACAAAAGCTGAGGAGGATGACGATGATGATGATATGGATCAATTGAGAGAGCGAGATGACTGTGATGGATGTGAAATGCCTACAGCTAGATGCCAATGTCAAGAACTAGTTACTGCATTTGGAGAAATTAACTTGTGTCTCACAAGAATGGGCTTATTAGATAGAATCTCTGGATACACGCTAACCAATCTCATTCAGGATGAAATTTATGGACACATACAAAAGACATGTAGAGGCATTTTTGATACACAGCATCTTAAAAATCTTGAGAAATGGCTCGACACAATCGTGCTTGAATGGCTCACAAGAATTTTCAATAATGGCTCAGCAAAACTGGATCCTTCAAATCTTAAAATTCGTGAATCCATCAGTTATTTTCAAAAGAAATTAAAGTACCTTTTGTATGAAAAATATGCCAAAACCATTATAGATCAGTTTTTCAACATTATTATAGAATTTCCTGATTCACAGCCAGCTATAGATGATCTAAAATTGTGCATGGAAAAATTGGATTTAAGAGCACATCTAGTTGAAGTTCTGAAGAACTCACTAGAAACAAGATTATTACATCAAGGTGTTGAAACGAGTGACATAATAACTGGATATGTAGCAACTATTAAGACTATGAGACATCTTGAAAAAAGTGGAATTCTTCTTCAAACTGTCACTGAGCCAGTAAAAGAATATTTAAGAAAATGTCGACAGGATACAGTTAGATGTGTAGTGACAAGTTTAATTGAAGAGACTCCTTCAGATCTTTCAGAGGAACTGGCAAGAAGTGAGGCAATCAAGGCTGAAGAAAATGAAAGAAATCAAGATGAAATGAATAATTGGCAAGATTGGACTCCAGATCCAGTTGATGCTCTTGATAGCGATAAGAACTCGGCACAAAACCGAAGATCAGATATTATTTCAATGATCGTTGATATTTATGGCAGCAAGGAATTATTTGTTAATGAATATCGGAATTTACTAGCTGATCGTCTTCTTACACAACTTGATTTTAATCCAGAAAAGGAAATCAGAAACTTGGAACTTCTTAAATTGAGATTCGGTGAAAATTTATTACATAGCTGTGAAGTAATGCTAAAGGACATTAGTGACTCAAAACGAATTAATTCTCATATTTTAGAATGTAGTACATTCACATCAGAAGAAACACCAAATGATCCAGCAGTGTCTGCCTTAATTGTATCTTCACAATTTTGGCCAATGTTTAAGAAAGAATCGATGGAATTGCCAGAAGAGATTAATAAACTCTTTGAAAGATATAAGAAATCATATGAGGAATATAAAGGAAATCGAACGTTGTGCTGGACACCATTAAATGGAAAGGTTAACATTGAAATTGAAATAAATGACAAAAAATTAGACATGACAGTTAACCCGGCTCAAGCCACAATTATTATGCATTTCCAAAATCAAAAAGAATGGCAATTAGATCAGTTGAGTACAGTTATTAATATGCCACCTTCAACATTAAGAAGACGGATTGGATTTTGGCAATTGCAAGGCTTAATAAGAGAAGCTAAGGAAAATACATTTATTCTGTGTGACGAGAATCATGATCAAGCAGGTGAGATTGAAACAGAAACAAATGTGGTTTTAGACGAAGAAGAAACGATGGTATCAGCAAATGATCAGAGAGAGGAAGAACTTCAAGTATTTTGGTCTTACATTCTTGGTATGCTAACAAATCTTGACTCAATGAGCCTTGAACGTATACATCAAATGTTAAAAATGTTTGCATCGCAAGGTCCTGGATTTGAATTTTCTCAAGAAGAACTGAAAAGTTTCCTGCAAAGAAAAGTACGAGAACACAAGCTTGTCTATTCTTATGGTGTGTATCAACTTAACAAGAACTAAGTATTTAGGATTAAAGGCTTTTGGCGAAAATGTTTATTTTTTATGAGAATGATTTAATAAAAATAAAGCTTGAATTAATTAAACTAAATAACTTAATCATCATCAATCAGTTCCACATCATCTTCTATATTTTCATCGTCTACTTTTTCAGCTGCTTTATTGGCAGAATTATCATTGAGCTTCTTTTCTTTCTTACTTTTCATCACATTTCGATAGTTTTCTAGTGCCTTCTCGAGTTCGGGAACAAATGATTCAAATTCAATGTCCTTTAAAGCAGTCAAAACATGATTAGCACTCATTGTTTTTTGATTGGCAGCACTTGTGATGTCAGTTGCAGCTAGAAAGTACAGAAAATTGTTGAGTTATATGCTCAAGAATGATGCACTTTTATAACTTACATGATGTAAGGAAAAGAATGAACACGCTTGCTGCTCTTGCAATCGCCAATTTTGCTTCTTGCTTTGCTATAGCATTTGGTGGGATTGCCTCCTTAATTAAACGCTGAACAACCGATAAAGGAAGCTGTAAATCAGTTATTTTATCGTCTGACATTTTTCGCGGTCTTTTTTTGTTTTACTGTTGACTGATTGTTGTTTATTAGCAGGGCTTTTGAAGATTTCCTTATGTTCACACCTTACTCGCGTTTGAAAGTTTAGATGTTGATCAGATTTAGAAATCAGTTTTCACATATTGAGAGGAACAGAAGCAAAATGGCAAAAAAATGTTCATAAACAATTTGTTTGCGTTTGAAATTCTTTGTATTCTTTTAAAAATGGAATTAAAATTAGTCAAGACATTACCAAGAAAATATAACACTACAGTAAGGTGTGGATATGTCAGAAATGGGTTTATATCCAAAAGCTCTGCATCCTAAACGCACTCTTGATTTTTAAAATTTTTCTAAACTCAGAGTGCTCTCAGAAATTTACAGTTTCGTTCATATTTGAAAAATCTTCTTTTATTTTGTTCATTGAAATTTAATATAATTAAAGGATTCCTCACGTCCTTAAAATATATCTGTTGAGACGATAAGAAAGGATATTACGTGAATAAAGTGAAGTGAACAATGCAGGCACAAATTCAGCATCAAAATTCCAATATGAAAATTGGGCACGATATTCAAATAGGTAAGAGAATAAAAAAGAATCAAGTGCTACAAAAAAAAATTAATTTTAGTAAGATTTCAGTTCATTAAAGAGCAATAAAATACAGTTTATTGAGACAATTAACCCATTTAATGAGATTCTATAAGTTTTCATTTAATTCCTTCACTTTAAAATATTAAGGATTTAAGAATTAAAGATGTGTAAATGTCATGAAAACCAGGAAGTGAAAAGTGTTGAGAAATGCAAACATTCTTTGTGAACATAAAAAATTTGAAAAAAAAATCAATAAATCTGTATATGCGATAGTGCCAAGCTTCTCTATTAGTCACATAATTTTTTAATAAAGCACAGCAGATAAGGTCAAGGATTTTAAAAGAAAAAACAAGAACAATAAGAGGAGCATTATCGTGACGTTCAGCTATTGATTTTTTTTAAAAATACCAAAATTTATATGCTTAAGTTTTTTTGAGGATAATATTTAAATCCATTTCAATGATGCTTAGGTTTATTGGAACTTGCTCATAAAGAATATCAGACAGCAGATTATGAGAATGCGGAAAGACATTGCATGCAACTACTAAGACAGGAAGGCAATAACACCGGAGTTCTTCTTTTGTTATCGTCAATTCACTTCCAGTGTCGTCGCTTAGATAAATCAGCACACTTCTCGACCATGGCCATTAAACAAAATCCCTTGTTGGCAGAAGCTTATAGGTAAAGTATAATTTTAAACTATAGTTTTCGTTGCCCAGGCTTACTAACGCTCACAGCCGTAACAATAAAAAAATATATGATATAGTAACGAAAAGAAATGAATAACGGAGAAAAGAGAACAAGCTTGAATGTAATGTAAAAGAGAATGTGCAAATTGGTGCAAAATATTTTTTCCTTCGTTACCTTGAAATTTAAACGACTTTACATTCTTATCAATGTATTTATCATCAGCAGTTTAATTTGATTCAATTAGTCATTGAAAGCTTGTGTCAATATCGTCGACAATTTTCATTTTATGACATAAAACATTGATTACTGAACGATTCTTTTCGTTATAGTAATTTGGGGAACGTGTATAAAGAGCGCGGACAGTTGCAAGAAGCATTGGAAAACTATCGTCACGCGGTTCGTCTGAAGCCCGACTTCATTGATGGATATATCAATTTGGCTGCTGCTTTGGTTGCATCACGCGATATGGAACAAGGTTTGAAGCTATGCTTATAAGAAATATAAAGCTTTCAGTAACATTTTATATTCATTTCGTAGCTGTACAAGCATATGTGACTGCTCTTCAATATAATCCGGTAAATGATAATGAATAATAGAAAATTGAACCATAGAAGACTGATGTTTTTTCTTGATCTCTATTTGTAGGACTTGTATTGCGTACGAAGTGATTTGGGAAACTTATTGAAAGCACTCGGAAGATTGGACGAAGCAAAGGTATGATTTGAGTGTAATCATCTCATTGTTATGCATCATGTGTGATACTTTAATTTGATGATTGATTTTCGGTCGTAATCCCTAATGTCCATGGACTAGATTTTGCAGCCGTCTCTGCGACCTTAATATCATCTCCAAAACCATTATATGCTGCTTGTCTCAACCCATATGCGTACAAAAGAACATGTAAGATAATTGCTTATCAATCTCTAGATGATGCGTAATGCGTAGTCTAATTATAATCGTATTATATTGTTGTGCTTCCCCCTGTTGCTTTGCGTAGGGCATGTATAATACCCAGTGCACGACTTTTACAGCCATTTATAGATCGATAATCACTTAATGAGATTATCAGTATAAATTGAAATCGACTTGAAAAGCTTTTTTTGTGTATGAAAAGTTTTTGAAGATCTTCTTTTAAAGGCGGCTTCAAAATGAAACTGAATTTGCAAAAAGTCCATCCTCTCTTCTCGAATCTTAGTCGCTCATCCGCCTCTTCTACTTGCTGTATTTCGTATGAATGAAAAACTTTTGAATGTTTAATCAAAAAACAAATCCAAGTTCTATTGAGATATTTAGATATATATATATCCACACTACGAAATCTGATAAACCAAAATCTCGAATCAATTAATTTTCAGTGTTAAAAGTTAAATAAAAAAAACATAAATGAAAAATCATCAAAAAATAAAAAAATTGATAAAGAATTATAGTAACTGAAAAAGTTTAAAGCAGATTTAGTCAAAGTTCATATGATGATGATAATGATGATAATGATAAGAAAAGAATTGAAAGAGTTTTGGTTGATTAAGAAAAAACGAAAATGTCCCAGAAACAAAGAGAGAAACAACTTTACGAAAAATCCTACAGTAATTGAATAAAGTATTCCAAGGATCGTGATGATTAATGGCGTTAAAAGGGCCAGGTAAAGTAAACTGTATTTGGTCGAAATTCCTTTATAATCCAATTCCGTCGTTCCTTGTTCCTATCTTAACTTCCTTAATATAATTTATGGACCAAATACATGAAATATCTATATTTTTATGAATGTTCTTTAAGCTTAGTGATAATCTTTTTCATTCTTTAAAAAAAAAAAACAACGGTGTAAAATGATTTTTCTCCTGAAAAGCTCATCCATGAACAAGCCGGTGAAGAAGAACAAGATATGAGCGAAAAAAGAATCATTTTGCAACGGTTCATCAACATGCACACCGAATGAATAATTGCGTGTGTCTGTTGAGGGTTCATTTTTTGTTTTCTTAGATATATTCATATACCACCACGTTAAAGGCATTTGAGACTAGAGTCAAAAATCGTGCAAAGTCTCAGGCGCTCTGTCGAGTTTCATTCTATATGACTATATTTATTTATATTTGATTTTTCCATCTCTATCAACGTATTATATTAATGATTGTCCGTGCCTAAGTGTATCATTATCGGATTTTTGTCAAGTGTCTGTTGAGTTGTTTGATTGGATAAGAAAGGATCGTTGAATGTAAATTAAATGAGTAATATGATATGGTGATAGAATGGATGCGTAGGGCGTAATATAACCATGAATTTTATTTGCCGTGATCAAAGGGAAGAGCTTTCCTAGAGCGATATCTTGCAACTCCCCCAAAATCTCTTCTCTTAATCTAATCCCAAAAGCATTACGACTATACGGAAATTAATATTTTGTTCTTAATATTAATTCAATAAGTGACTTAAATTGCGAATTTTTGCTTCTCGTCTGATGTGGATTCGTCGTCCTCAGACACCCGAAGCCTCTCCCTCATGCTAAATACAATCATGAAAATCTCTCTTGTGCGTACAATGTAAATAAATTACACCCCTCACCCCCAAACTCTTGGTTTAAAATCCCATGCGTAAATATTTTATTTAACATTTATTTTCTTCCGACTCAAAGGAGAATAAAATTACACATCGTAAATAGATATGCGTAATTTTAGGAGACTCATTCCGCTCTCATATTCAAAAAGGAATTTAATAACTATATCGTCTTATCGAATTACTTTCAGATTGCAAAAAATTAAAGATAGTGTCATATTATTATTGTTAATAAATGAACAGAAAAGGAATGTAATAAAAAGTTTAAAGTTTTTGAGATGCTTCGATGAAACGATAAAGTTATCAACCCTCTTTACGAGGTGCTCATCCATCACATAATATTTTATATCTAATGAAAAGTTATTCTTCAGCTTTTATCCACACATAAGGAACTCGTTAAAACATCTATCTTAATTTATTTTTGTTATATTTTATTTTTAATTTCATATTAAAACTCTCAACGAAAAAAAAAAAAAAAAAATGAATCAAAATCAAGATTTTCTAATGCACGCGACTATATTTTTGATAAGTACTTTATATTTTTATTTATTCTTGCTTTTGTTTGCGATTGTGATTTCATCAGATTTTCTTCTTATTTCTATTATTATTTCTTTATAGACAAAAAGTTTATATTTGTTTCAACACGTTACAAAACAAAATTATTGTTCCCAAATCATTTTTTTTTCTTTTTTAAAAAATATTCATGTCATTTTTTATTAAATTTACTTCATAATTTATTTTATTTTTTTTTTTTCGTTTTGAGTCAGTATATTGGGTATATAAAAATAAAAAGTATAAAGCAAAAAGATCCGAAACTGAACAAAAAAGCATCGGATGTGTTAAATCCGTGTTATCCCCATAAATATTCGTGCTGATTTCCTTGAATCCTTACTGATATACAAATCATTTGTTCTGTTTCTCTTTATATTTATTTTTACTACAACTTAATGAAAAACAGGCCTGCTATTTAAAAGCTATAGAAACAAGGCCAGATTTTGCCGTCGCATGGAGCAATCTTGGATGCGTATTTAACGCACAAGGAGAAATTTGGTTGGCAATTCATCATTTCGAGAAGGCTGTTGCTCTAGATCCAAACTTTTTGGATGCATACATAAATCTTGGGAATGTACTCAAAGAGGCAAGGATTTTTGATCGGTGAGTACACATGCTTTAGTTAACCGAATTACTCCAAAAAAAAAACACAATTCATTTTGTAAGTCGTTAAGGACCTACCTCCTCTACATAAATTAATGAACTAGAATGCAAAGTGAAATGAAGGAAGTAATAAGCATAACATTGTTTTGAAAAAATTCTTCCGATTATTTACGAGTCTCCACCAGTGTTTCTAGACCTTTCTTCGTACAATGTTTCAATTGGTGTTGTTTTGAAATTTGTAAAGAAGAGTAAGCACATCCAAATATATATCATATAAAACACTAAGGTTCTGCAACACAAGATTGATCACCACTGCTCTTTATCATAGACTCGTTAATAATCAGTTTAAAAAGAAAATTTTCTTATTTTCTTCTCAAGTATTTTGATTTATGGATGAAAGTTTTATGAATGCCGAAGCGTGTACATTGAAAATTGTAAAACTGCTAACACATGATATAAATCACTTTTTGAAGATGCTGTATTTAGGTTTTTATTTACATTTTTCGTTTATATTTTCATCGTTTCTTGCTCCATAATTTGACTCCATAATATTTCGTACAAACACGATTAGTGAGAGAGAGTAACTAAGGCATTATAGCAAAAGAAGCGGTCGAAAGAAAAAACAAATGATGAGATGAAAAGTTTTGCGATGTCAGTTTACTTCTAAATTAATGAAATAAATTCAAAGATGAAAAGGAAGTTTAATGTAATTAATTTTTCCATTTAGATGTTAAGCAGAAAGTGCTCTCATTCAATGTATATAGCAATAATAATAAAAGAAATTTAAAAGTCCATGATAGACGCTATAGAATGACAACAAGAATAACATAATCTGAAAAAAGAGAATCGAGACACTCTCACAGAAATGGTTTGCGTTACCATGCCAACAATTTTCACGAAATTTTCCGAGCTCCTATAAAATCTACGAGTGTGTATGTAAAAATGAGATTTTTCATTCTCAACATTTTTTCTATTGCTCACACATTATCAGTAGTAACGTTAGGATCGAGCTTTCACAACGCACTTTTTTCGTTTCTCATTTTTTTCTATCCATCTTTCAAGTTGCTTCCCTATTTTTTAATAAAAAAAGAAAATAAGAACGCCTCTTTGTGTAAAGAAAAAATAAGAACAAGGAAAAATGAAGGAGAATCGGAATAAAAAATCGGGAGTTGTGTGAAAAGTTTTTTTTACTATTCATTACTTTGTCTATGAAAGCATTGAATATATAAAGTGAACAGTGAATTTATATATTTTCTTCCTCTGTCTTCAATTAAACCTATCTAACGATAACAGAACTATTCATCGTCATATCTATCCAAGTCCTTCATGAAATTAAATCTCATAGATAAACGTTTCGTTTAGGCATCACTCATGATACGATTTTTTGGCAGTTATCGATTTTTTTTCCTATTTTTCATCAGTATGTACTTGCATATATGTTTTAGTTGAGGAAATCGTAAAATATAGAAAAAAATTTGTTGTGTATCGAAAATCATAACCCTCATCCTTATTCTTATGAATATATTTCTTACTTCATTTGAGCAAGATGTGGTTTATGGCTTAATGCCAGAATGTGTGCGTACTGACTAAGAGCCTCTGAATATGAAGGGTGTACAATATTTAATTTAAGCATAAAATACACATTTTTTGAAACTATGCAAATATAAACTTATCATGCTTTTAAGGGGAAATGAAAAAAGAAGAATGAGAAAATTACAAAATGTTGCACTTTACGAATCGACCCTAAGATTTTTTCAGCGACAGTTGTTTTATGGAATAAATAAAAAGAATAAGCTTATTATTACAAAAGGAAAGAACAAAACTGGGTTAGAGAGTGTCAGTTTAAAAATGAAAAGCTGTAGGAAAGAAAATTCTTGTTGCTTAAAAGTGTCAAGAGAGAATAAAAGGGAAGAAAAATTTTCGATTCAGCAAGAAAATTCAAAGAAAGCTAATTTTTATTTGCCAAAAATAGAATTTTCCTCGTTTGCTATTTTCCTTATTTTTTTTTTTCTTGGCATAATCCGCAGGAGTTTTTCCTTCTTATGAGACCAAACAGAACAAAACGGCGAATAAAAAACAGTAAGAAGTGTATAAAAAAATTATACCAAAGGAAGAGGAACAAATCGCACAATAAGTTTATTGCACATAAAATGATTTTACAATTGAAAAAGAAGCTTTAAAAAGAAACAGAGAACAAGTAGCGTATGACTGTCAAATTGAAGTATAATGAAACCATAAGTAAGACTCTCTACTTCCGCAATCTTCTTTTACATATTGATTGGGTATGTTCTTTTTGGGACAATCAAAAACACACTTGCATACACGCTCTCACCTCACCTCCTTCTTACCTAGTTTTTTTTCTTAAGATGTTTTGTGCTGAGTCTGAGTCTGCAGATTGATTAAATAAATACAATCATGCAAATATTGAGCTATCAGTATCTTGTTTCAATTCATTTTATTATAGTATATAGAGATAAAATTTTACCAGGCTGTCTAGATAGTTTTTTTTAAACTCAATAGAAAGTTGCAATAAATCCAAGAATAAAGCATTCACGGAAAATTAATCATGAACGAATACATCCTCAATAGCAGAAAATAGAGTGCAAAGTATGCTATACTGGGTTAAAAAGAAAACATGAAAAAATATGACATATATTTGCATTGCTTAAAGGAAAAGCTCAATTTCAAGAGAAGGAATGGAAACCATAAAAATATGATTATTATGAAACGTAGAAGATCCACTATGAAATATTTTGGTATCTAAAGGTCTAGAACTATAAATTAAGAGTTTCAATTCATGGGGGAAATAGGGAAGTTGAGTCTAGAATAAATTTAACGTAAATGCTTGTTGGTTGGATAGACCAAAATTAAATAGCGTTTTTTTCTCATTAAATGGAAACTACTATAAATATTTGATCTCATTTCTCTTTAACTTTATCTTATTTTTGTAGTTCATTTAACATTTTGGCATATAACAAAGAAAAAAAGTTGACAAGAATAGGATATATGTCTATGTGTATATGTTCTATTTTTTATAATAAAAAAAACATTGTTTATCATCCGGCGGCATGTTTCTGTATCTTTTCATTTTAATAGTATTGATGCTTTAATCGATACGAAAAAGAGATAGACATGACTACAGAGAAGAACTTTGCGAAATCAATGTTTTTTAAGAATTTAAGATCAATTAATGGCTGCTTAAATCGCCAATTTAGTTCTATAGCTGAAAAAAGGTGAATTTTTATAAAAAGAAAGAAAATTTGAAGAGGATTAAGGAAATGTGTTTTTTCACCGTCTTTCTTGCAAATTTTACTTTTTTCTACACCATAGCGATTTTGTTTCATATTTTCTCTAAGTATAGTTAAGATATTGATCCGATAATGTTTAGTGCTTTCACTTTTATGGTATATACATTTACGATATATGAAGCGATAAAAGTGGAAAGTGATAGAAATGCCATTGTGTAGATATGAATGGGTGACTGATAGAACGAGACAAAAAAAAGATAGAGAGAAGAATATTTTATTGCTTTTACGATAATAAATAAATTGAGAGAACAGCTGAACATAGAACAATTTACTGCTATATGAAAGGCAAGTGGACACGAAAAAGATCTACTACAAATATGTGATACAAACGAAATGATGAAGAATATCCTTCAAAATTTATTTAATAATGAAATTTACTGTAAATAACTTCCTCGTAAAGACGTTAAAGACCAAAAGCTCTTTGGAGTTATTCATATATGGTGCCTAAAATGTGGAAAGTGCGTAATAATAGAAAAATTAATACTTGAATGACTTCATTGAAGAATAACTTCTTTCGTTCTTATCTTAAAAATATATTCTTCTCCGCTCTACCTTTTAACCTTAAAAAAATATCACGATTAGAATAAGGTGAAAATAAAATTTAATTAAGTCAATTTCGTTACTGTAGTCCTTGATAGAACAAAGAAAACTCTTAAGATTAGAAAGCATTAATATAATTTAAAAAAGGGGTTCGAATTTGGAAGGATAATCTTGTGAAAATATCAGAATTCACGAACTTTTCGTTTCCTTAAAAGCTTTAAGTTAAAAGGAATGCTGATTAAGAATTTCAATTTTTTAGAGTTCTTAATATTTGTACAAAAACACATACCCCAAATAATACAGTCCAATTTTGTACAAAAAACCAAATCATTTTTTACAAGAAGAAATCATCAAAAAATAAAAAAAAAATTGAAACAATGGTACTTCAATCTTAAACTTGAATTTGATCAAAATTAACAATATTTATGCACTGAATTTATCAAATTTTCACGCAAATATTTGGTATTTGTTTTTGAAATTCCTGGTGTTGATATGGAAAATTTATATTTTTGTTCACCCAGAATTTGCTCAATCGTGAATTTTTCCTTTGTCCTTTTTGTACTTGATTAAATATCCTCCTACCTCATATTTAATCACAAAAAATTACGATTATAAACTCAACAAAAGAAAAAAATGAGAATATATAAAGAAAATTGTTATCACGAGACTAGCAAAATCTCTTGAGAGATTTTCATATTTTTCGTGCTTCTATAACTTTGTGTATGATGTACAGATTTGGGCGTCAAACACTTGACGAAATGATAATAATTGGAAGATGGGAATAAAAAGTTTTTGAAAAGATGAAAAAAGCCGAAAAAGTTAGGAAAGCACAATCTACTCAACATCACTTCATGATAATTTATATGCCAATTTAGCAAATGCCGAAAATTAAACGAAAAAATGCTGTGGAATTGTTCTGGAATAAAAAACCAAAAAGTTGATGAAAATTTGTTCATTTTGTGTGAAAATTTTCTTTTTTCGAATAGCTTAGAGGTAGCATGTAAAAATATCTTATTTTATGTTTGCATGCTTTTCTTATTAAAAAATATTTTAATTTTATGGTTGTAAAATATTCTTGAGGGTTTTATGAAAGCCATAGAACCTTCTTAGCTTATATAGATTATCGTAGATACAGTGCGTATGATTCGTTTA